CTCTACAATAAATCAAAAATTAGCCGGGCGTGGTAGCACGTGCCTGTAGTTCCAGCTACTTGGAAGGCTGAGGCGGAAGGAGCGCTGGAGCCCAGCAGATCAAGGTTGTGGTGGCCGGGAGTGGCCACTGCACTCCAGACTGGGTGACAGAGTGAGATTCCAACTCAAAAAAAAAAAAATGCAGATTGCAGAGGAATGTATATAATATCACATTTAAGGCAATTATCGGAGAATGATATTATGAGTAATTTAAAAATTCCTTTGATTTAGTTGTAATTCTAAAATTTATATATTGCTTTAACAATAAGATTATTTTAATAGAAGAGGAAATAAAATTACTGCAGAAATGGTTTCTCTTGGCAGGTCCATCTCTTGTTCACACTCCTGTTTTGACATATCTGCTGTGCTTTGGTCTCTGAGTTTGAAATCCATTAGGACCTGTCTGTGTGCTTATGGGAGGAATTATCTCTCATCACCTCCCCCAAGGTTAGGTACTGGATATAGGCAGTTAGATAGCATCATAGGAGCATAGGTAACCTTGAGTTTGAATGCTAAATCTGCAGCTACTAGTTGAGTGGCCCTGAGATTGTTACTTTGCCTCCAATTTTCAGTTTTCTCATCTGAAAAACAGAGCTAATGAAGAGCACGTACTTCCTGGTTTCATGTTGATTCCGCGAGATGATCTGAGATAGCATGTGACACCTGCTTGGCATGGAGCAAGTGCTGAATAAAGTTACCTGTAAAGAAGATGGAGTGGTGATAATGGTGCTGATGATGGTGATTGTGGCGATGATCATGCTGACGGGATGATAAGGATGGTGTGATGGTGAGGGTGGTGGTGGTGATGGTGGAGAGGGTGACAGTGAAAGGTGAGAGGATGGCTATGGTCATAAGGATGGTGGAAGTGACAGTAATGGTGATGGTGATGACAGCTGTCATGGGGAGGTCTCATGCTCCTTCCCTGATGCCAATTGTCATAATGACTGTGTATGCTAAAGACTGATCATTTATCAAGTGATAATCAGAATAAACACGGATCTGTTAAAGTCCTCAAAGGAACAAAGCAGTGGTCTGAGAAGGGCCACCTCATGGATGCCTTATCTGAGAAGGTCCACCTCATGGACGGACCTAAGAAGGCAGACTGCATTATGCACTGAATCTTGGATACAAATCAAATGTTGGTGCAGATACTTCTCTTATTCCTTCAATTACCATTTCCTAAAATCACTTATGAAACTTCTACTAGAGGCCAGATACCTTACTCAGAGTTTTGTAGCTATCAATTTATTGAAAACTCAGGAAAGACAGAAAGAGACTAGAGTCCTGGAAGCAGTTTGAAGCCATTATACCTGCCCTCAAACATTGTAATGGATGAGACAAATAAATAAACACCTATTTGTCAAAAAAAAAAAAGAAAAGTAAATCAGACTCACAACCAGCCAGGAATGGTGGCTCATGCCTGTAATACCAGCACTTTGGGAAACCAAGGCAAGAGGATTGTTTGAATTTAAGAGTTTGAGACCAGCCTGGGCAACATAGCAAGACCTCATTGCTACAAAAAATTTTAAAAAACAAGCCAGGCATAGTGGCAAGCATCTGTAGTCTCAGCTACTCGGGAGACTGAGACAGGAGGACCGCCTAAGCCCAGGAAGTCAAAGCTGTGGTGAGCTGTTATTGTGCCACTGCACTCCAGCCTGGACAACAAAGTGAGACTCTGACTCAAAAAAGAAAAGAAAAGAAAACTCACAACCACCTTATGATGTAGGGCTTATAATTGTCTCCCCACTCTTTAGATGAAGAATTGAGGCTTAAGGAGATTACATCATTTGCTCAAGGTCATGCTGCTACAAAAACGCAAAGCTAAGACTTAGATAAAGTCTGCTTGAGTCCAAAGCCTGTGTATGACCTCCTCATTGAGGTCATGAACCCCAGTGTCTTCTGGAAGCTTAGCCAGAAACATAAATAAGCAATGCCATTGGTGAGGAGTAGGAACTATGGAAAACTGGAGACCATAAGTTCCATCTAGGGACATTCACGTCCACTCTCTCCTTAAATACAGAACCAGGGGACCACGAGTTTGCATTCTCTGAGTAGACAATATTCCCTGATCGAAATCAAATTTTGTTGTGGGAATCTCATGTCCCACTGGAGGAATTATACTTGGTGACTTCGTGAAATTTTTTCCCTCTTTCAACATTTATCTCTCTCATTTTTTTGAGTTGGAGTCTCACTCTTTTGCCCAGGTTGGAGTGCAGTGGCATAATCATGGATCTCCACAGTCTCAACCTCTTGGGCTCAGAAGATCCTCCTACCTCAGCCTCTCAAGCAGCTGGACTACAAGCATGTGCCACCATGCCTGGCTACTTTTTGTATTTTTTTGTAGAGAGGTCTCGCTATGTTGCCCAGACTGGTCTTGAATTCCTGGGCTCAAGCAATCCTCTTGCCTCGGTCTCCCAAATTGCTGGGATCACAGGCATGAGTCACTGCACCTGGCCTGTCTCCCTTTTTTATTCATGTTTCTCTCTCCTTCAAAAAAATGCCTACTCTAAATATGCTGGGAAAAATCTCTATGCAAAAACAAACAAACAAACAATAAGTTCAAATGAGGACAATCCTTTTTTGAGGCCTCATTTGGAATCAATTTAACTAAAATGAGTATTTTTATATAAAAGAGGTGGCAATATTTTTTTTACAAGCACTAAAGCCTCTAGGAATACTGATTTGCAGAGATTTTTGGTTATAATCAAAAGTAAGAAATGTATTTCACTTTAGTCAGAGAGAAGGAGAAAGGGAAAGAGGGAGGGAGGAAAACCAAGTTTCACAAAATGATATTATATGAAGCATCTGATATATTATACTTATAATCCTTTCCCTTACTGCCTGTTTCTACGCTGGTTGTTACCCAATAAGCTGGAGTCACGATCACCCCCTCTAGTGGGTCATAACCAGTTGGTTGAAAATGTTGACCTGTAAACCTCTTTACTTTGACCTTGAGTGAGGCACAAACCCTTCCACTGTGAGCCTGGCATTTCACTGTGCTGATGTGTTTACTATGGGGTAGTGAAAAAGATGTGAATTCACCATATGACCCCAGGAAACCCACTCATCTTCTTGGAACTTGTTTTTCTCCTTTATCATAACAGATGAGTCATAAACTACGTTTGTTTTACTCTTAATGAAGCTTCATTTTACTTCACCTTAAGCCCCTGAATACACATTTCACCACCTCCTTTGAGGGTGCTAAAACATCTAGTAGGGTTCGCCCTAGCACATACCAACACACACACACACACACGGCCCTTGCCTAAGCAGAAGTGGAAAAACGAACATGAGTTAGATGCCCACGTAGCAGTTTTCAAGAAATAAAGCAAGAAGACTTGGAATTTGTTCAAAAACCAGAAGGTTTTTCTAGATGCACAATCCCAAAGAAAGCATTTTCTATTTTCTATGAGAAGACGCCATACCGACTTACCCCAAAGATGAAAAGTCTTTGCCTCTCGTCCAGTCTGGTAGCTTCTCAGAACTAACAGAAGAGGAAGTATGTCGCTACTTATCTTGAGCCCGTTTCTCAAAGAGTCTTGTGGGTGGACAAGAAGGCTGGGTTGTTGCTTGGGGTGTTTGCATAATGCAGGGCCCATTGGTTCTCTTTTCATTACAGTAATTTGAGGACTACCTTACCAGGATGGGCCATAGTGAAGTGCCTCAGAAAATGAGCTTGGAAAAGATGATGGTGTTCAGTGGTGGAATATTAAATACCGGAAGGTAGAGCCAACTCCCATCTATGCCAAGGATATGGTCCAATTTTGAAGAGGCTCTTTACATTTAATTTTCACTGTGAATGTTGAGGCCAGGGCATGGAAGAGAGCCTGTATTTCTTTGTATTACCCAATGTCCTATTCCAGAATCATTTCTTTGTTTACCACTTTGGGAAAATGTCTCATCCATATTCTTCGTCTTTGGGATGGGGTCACCCGACAGAACTGCACTGATCTACATGGCTGGAAAAATTCCTGACAGGTTTCCTGAAATTTTTGTCTCATTTGTATTAGAACAATTTTTGTAAGATCCAGCATGTGTATGGAAAATATCCCCTAGTTTGGCAAGTCCAAATGCACATCTAGTGATTTATTCTTTGTTGTGATTTTTTTTTTTTATTTTAAAGATGTGGGATACAATTCAGGGTTAGGTACACACGTGGTCATTGTACAGGCAAAGTTTGGGTTTCCCATTTGTCCTTCCTTCACCTGGTTTTTGAAACAAAACTTTATTATTCCCAACATTAATATCTTCTTTTCCTGTTTTCCACTGATTTTTATAAGTTAATAACAGCAAATGCAGTAAAATAGTTAATAATCGCCTACATTTGACCGGCAACCAGCCCTCCATGTCCTCCTCAAAAAGTGTGCTGCATTGTCTTTTGAATGACAAATGAAAGAGAATTCAGGCCTGTCGTTGTCAAGTTGTACTGAAGTGAAAAAGTTCTGAATGTAAAACTGAAATGCCTAAATCCAAGAGAAGTCCCTGAAATTCGGAGCCTTGCATGTGCTCACAGTGAAATTCGGCATGTGATAGGTTGCACCATTGGAGTAGTCTTTTCCATACTGATTCTACATTTGGGCATGTGACTAACATTGGCCGGTGAGAAAACAGCTAACAGGATGCACAAAAGTGCTAACCTGCTCGAAATTAGGAGGCCAAGTGGAAGAGGACCAAGACTCACTAACCAACAATCCATCACTCCGGTTGCCAAACTGCCAACCACCAGATATGTGAGTGAGGTCCTGTTAGATCATACATTCAACCAGTTGACCCAAAAACTGGCCAAAAACACATGAAGGAGACCAACCAAGCCAGCCTAGATCATAAGAAATATCTAGCCACCCCACAGCATCATAAATTAAATGAAAGTAGTGGAGGGGGTGATTTACTATACACCCAAGATTGATTGATATGCTCCCCAAAATGGACTGAGAGGAGAGAGTTCTTTACACATGTGCTGTCCGGCATGGTACAACTTGACTTCATCTCCAAACCACAGCTGATTTGTCTTGAATTTGTTCATATGGCAACCAACAACCTTGGAGATGGCCAAGCAGAAAAGTCTACCTTGAAACAGTTCTCTCTATTGGATGTTGACTGGTCAATCCATACTGCTTGTGTCTCCCTGAGACAATTTGAATAAAAAACTCCAGAGAGGGACACAAACAGTAGAGTTACCCATGAGCCAATGAATAAATGAAAGAATAATAAAGGCAGAATCCATCAGACAGAATAATCTGTTAATGACCCTCCTTTCCTGGTTCTACTTTGGGTATCTCACCTAGCCTTGGGAGAGCAGTTGCCTGTCAACACTATTTGCCACTATTATGGAATCCTGGCCCATTTCAAAAACCAAAGGAGCAAGTGCTCAGTCTAGAAACAGTTTGCCATGAGGTGATCACCTCTTATACTTTAACAAGCATGTAACAGTTCAATTTGGGTCATTGTGAAAGCAACTACTTTCCATCCTTCGGCACCTTGCTCTGTGCAGAAGAGGCTCAGTAGAGGCTGTCTTGTATGTTTTGCAGGTGCTCTGTCTTGCTCCTGGGTTTGGCCAAGGGTAGCCCTGAAAGGAGAAAGGAGGGCTGGAGGAGTGAGAGACAGGGAATGTATTTCCCCAGCACCCCCCTCATGCCCTGCAGGACTGCACTGTCTTCTTCTGCTGGCTAAAGCCCTTTCCAGGTTCCTATAACTGCTCCCTTCCCTCACCTCTTCAAGTCAAGGAGTGCTAAGAGCTCCCCTCACATTGCTAGTCTCAGTGTGCCCCACCATCTTTTGTGATTTCCCTCAGTCCTGCTCACACCTAAACAAACAGTCCTTTCATTAAAGCCGCCTCATCTAACCCATTTGACTGAACCAGCTGCTTCTTACCAAGTCACCAACTAAGACACACCTGGAACTATACCAGCTCCACTCATCTGACCAGGAGACAAACCTTTCTTATCAACTGTCATCAAAGAGGAAACCATGTTTCAAGAGAAGAAGGAAACACGATTGTTTTTTTACCAGCACGCAGACCTGAAACACAGAACACAAACACCACTTCCTCCTTTGCCATCGTTAGAAAAAAATTATGTCTCTCAGCAAAAGTCCCACACCTTGAAAGGATGGTGTTCATATGTGAATTGGCTGATGCAGGTGCTCAGATGTTCCACCCTGCAAGAACGGGATACAAGAACCAGGTAGAACCCAGTATCTGTCTTCTCAGAATGGCAGCCCAGACTCGATACCAAAAAGATCTTGTCAAGCAGCCCCTATGCATTGCTTGCCCGGCACACTGGACATCACTGGGAACCTACCTTTAGACTATATCATTGTCCTTGTTTCTAACAAAACTCTTATGCCACTGAGTGTGCTTGGTGCCTTCAGTGGTGTAAAAACATTTTGACACTCTTCCTTGAAGAGAGAGAGTCTATGTCCTCTCCCTTGAATCTGGGCTCTGTGACTTATTGACTAATAGAAAATGACAGAAGAGACTCTATGCAAACTTCTGGGTTCAGCTCTTAAGGAACTGGTAGCTTCTACATCCTTCTTGAGAATTTGCCCCTGGAATGCATTCGCCATGTTGTTGAGGAAGCCGTGCAGCCACATGGAAAGACCACGTGTACGTGTCCCGGACAGCAGCACCAGCTGAGGCCTCAGCCAGCAGCCAGCATCAACCCTGCCATGTAAGCAAGCCTTCAGGTGTTTCCAGTTCCCAGCTGGCATCTTGTGGAACAGAGGTCAGGCGTCCCTGCCAGCCATGCCCAAACTGCAGATTTGTTGAGGGCAGCCAAACCTGAGAAGATGAGAATTCCTTTATGTCAGTGTCAGAAAAAAAAGATCAGAAGTAGGACAGTCTTCAAGATAATAATGACAACAGACTCTCTATTGAGTGTTTACTAAATGCCCCTCACAGGTCTATGAGCCTTGTATACCGTAACTCATTTAATCCTTAAAATATTATGAACTCATTTTTCAGATAGGAAAACTGAGACCCAGAGAGGCCCAATGAGTTCCCCAAAGTTACACAGCTGGTGCATGATATAGCTGGAATACACTGGCCCTGACCCTTTCCCTGCTCCTCTTTATAGAAAAACTCCTTGAAAGTGCCATCTAACCTCCCTGTATCCACCCCCCTCATACACCGTTTGGTCCTTAAATTCACTCCAAACAGAATTTAGATCACAACACCCCCACGAAGCTGTTCTCCTCAAGGTCTCTATCAAGGTCAACAGTGATGGTCCTTTTTCATTTGTCTTCTATGTACCCATTGTAGGCTAATGACTTTCAAACTTATATCTCCAGCCTGGGCCTCTTACCTGAGTTACACACACACACACACACACACACACACACACACACACACACGCACACACACACACACACGCACAAACACGTACACACACATGAATGCATGTGTGTGTGTACACACACACACATACACACACACAACTTACTAGACATCTGCAAAACTATGCATTTCCTTCCTTCCTTCCTTCCTTCCTTCCTTCCTTTCTTTTTCTTTTTTCTTTCTTGTCACAGTTTCACTCTGTGGCCCAGACCGGAGTGCAGTGGCACTCTCACAGCCATTGCAGCCTTGACCTGCTGGGCTCAGGCAATCCTTCCACCTCAGCCTTCCATGTAGCTGGAAATTCAGGCATGTGCCACCATTCCTGGATAATTTTTTGATTTGTGGTGGAGATGCAGTCTCGCAATTGCCCAGGCTGGTCTCAAACCCATAGACTAAGGCAATTCTCTTGCCTCTATCTCCCAAAGTGCTGGCATGCAGGCATAAGTCACCACTCCTGGCTAAAACTACATATTTTCAAGTTTACTTTAAGCAAAACCAAACTCCTAATTATCCTCTCACACCTTCTCCAACCCCACAGTTATCTACATCTCTGAAAAATGTCACTACCATTAATCTCAGTGTACTCACCTCAGAGGGTGGTTTTTCCTGACCAGACAAAGGTGTTTGTTAGACATTTAAAAGAATAACTAGCAGGAGCACACTTTAAACAGATAGTGAATCCAAATAATCAGTGTGTAAGAATTATGTAAGTAGGGGCAATCCATGGCCACCCATGGGCAATGGGGAAAATAATTATTGTTTCACTTTTCAATATATACACAAGAGAATTGAAGATAGGTATTTAAACAAAAACTCATATAAGAAGGTTTATAGCAGCATGATTCATAGTAGCCAAAAAGTGAAAACTCAAATGTCCATCAATGAATGAATGACCAAACAAAATGTGGTCCATCCACACAGTGAAATATTTTTCAGCCATGGAAAGGAATAAAACTCAGACTCAGGATACAGTATGGATGAGCCTTGGAAATGTTATGCTTGGTGAAAGAACCTAACATCAAAAGGCAGCATATTTTGTGGCTCTCTTTATGTGAAATGTCCAGAATGGACAAACCCATAGAGACAGAAAATGGTTTCGTGGTTGCCAGGGCCTCAGAGGAGGGAGAAATGGGAAGTGATGGCTTAATGGGTTGGGAGTTTCCTTTTGGGGTCATGGAAATGTTCTGTAGCTGAGTGATGGTGATAGTTGTACAACAGTGTTCATGTACTAAAAGCCACCGAATAGTAAGCTGTAAAAATTGTTAAGCTGGGCACTGTGGCTCAAGTCTGTAATCCCAGCACTTTAGGAGACTGAGGCGAGAGGGTTGCCTGAGCCCAGGGGTGCGAGACCAGCCTGGGCAACCTGGCAAGACCTTGTCTCTATAGTAAATCAAAAAATTAGCCGGGTGTGGTGGCACATGCCTGTAGTTCCAGCAACTTGGAAGGCTGAGGCTGGAGGCTTACCTGGACCCAGCAGGTCGAGGCTCCAGTGACCGTGAGCATGCCACTGCACTCCAGCCTGGGCAACAGAGTGAGATTCAAATTTTAAAAAAATGTGTTAAGTTGGTGGATTGGATGTGAAGTGGCATTGACTTCAATGACTAATAAACAAATTACTGGTCCCATACAGAATTAAACAGGAAACCTGAGCGCCCTGTTTGGATTTGGGCAAAATTATATCCCTCATTTATGAATTTTGTGGGAACTTATTTTCCACAGGTTCTAGACAAAATCGATGTTTTCATTTTGTCTCCATGAGGATCATGTGGTTATCACAGCATAAAAAAAATGACAGAGAGAAAGAAGGACATGTCATACGAGTAAAAAAAAAGTTGATTCTAAAAGCTTTTATGATGGAAGTTAAGTTTCTAAGTTTTTTCTCTCAATTTTATGTGAAAGTAAAACCTCAGGATGGGATGAAGTTATATAGGCATTACATGTGATATTATTGAGAAAATATCTGAATGGACAAAGCATGAGAAACTGTCATGGTTAGGACTTGGTGAGCCAGTCATGGAACTGAGGGAACAAACACTCTGACTTTACTCTCTTCTTTATTTTTATTTTTATTTTTTTGAGTTGGAGTCTCACTCTGTTGCCCAGGCTGGAGTGCAGTGGCACGGTCATGGCCACCCCAGTGTCAACCTGCTGGGCCCTGACGATCCTTCTGCCTCAGCCTTCCAAGTAGCTGGAACTACAGGCGCATGCTACCATACCCGGCTAATTTTTGATTTATTGTAGAGACGAGGTCTCGCCAAGTTGCCCGGGCTGGTCTTGAACCCGTGGGCTCAGGTCATCCACTCACCTCAGCCTCCCAAAGGCGTGGGATGACAGGCTGAGCCACCAAGCCCGGCTCTCTTCTTTATTTTGATATCCCAGTGGCGGCGGGTCTCATCGGACAAACCAACTGGAAGCCACAGACCCATAAAGCTCATTGTGTTAATCAGATCACAACATCTACATAAATCAAAACATCAGGTTGTACACTTTCAATATATACAATTTGTATTTGTGAGTTATACCTCAATAACACCTAGGGACAAATGATAAATTATTAACTAATAATCAGTCCACTGATATATTCCAAAAATGTCAGTGTGATGGGCAGACCACTGGATGAACTTGGAAGGGTCAAGGGAAGACATCCAGCCCACGTAGATCACACATCCTTGTTTATCAGGCCTCTGTTCCCTGCCTCACCCACTAGAATAGTTCTTTGACAGAAAGAACAATGTGTGTCTTGCTTGGTATCACAGGCCAGTTTCTACAAAGTAGACACTTAAGAAATATTCATAGAGGCCAGGCATGGTGGGTCATGCCTGTAATCTCAGCTGAGGGGAGAGGATTGCCTGAGCCCAGGAATTCAAGATCAGCCTGGGCAACACAGCAATATCCCATTTCTACAATAAAATAAAATAAAATAAATTAGCTAGGCATGGTAGCGTGCGCCTGTAGTCCCAGCTTCTTAGGAGGCTGAAGTGGAAGGATCGCCTGAACCCAGCAGTTCGAGCCTGTGGTAAGCCATGATTATGCCACTGCACTCCAACCTGGTTGATAGAGTAAGAACATGACTCAAAAAAGGAAAGAAGTATTCATAGGATAAATACACGACGTTGGGCAAACTCCTTAATCTCTCCAAGTCTCCTGGGCTTTCTGACCTATGTCTTGCAGGGCATGTGGGCTGGACCAGAGGAAGAAGCTAGCCTGCTTCTGGTGAACAACTGGGATACAACCATACAAGTCCTCTACGACCCCTTCCTGATGGAGTTGATATGCATGGAGGTTTTGATATGTTTTCACTGGAAGGAAAAGAGAGAGAAAACAGAATGGCAGAGAGAATTTGTGTCTTCAGCTGACTTACGTGGTGGAGCACCCATGGGGAGGGAGGTTGCTGGGTATTCTATGAGTCAGGTGTGGTTGTGTCCCAGCACAGCAGCCTGGAACCCAGGAGACCATGACACCATCCCAAACTGGGGAGAGAACTGGCGACTTGCAGCATGGGTCAAGGTGAGTCTCAGGGCTCTGTGGACTTGACCTTTCCACGGATACAGATTGCTGTGCTGAGCAGTGGCAGGAACGTAGAAAAGGTATGTGGGGGACCATGATGGGGACATCAATACAGAGAAAGATGGAAGACACACGTCTGAGCAGACACAACTCCAGCAATACCCACAAACTCTTACAGAGGGATTTTCCCAAGATGAAGGGAGGAGAAGGAATGACAA